TATGGAATTTTTTACAATATTTCACAACCACTTTAAGTTCCTCTATCACATATCCGTTTTTTGTTAACATCTCATTATTAATTTAGGGCCTATAAAAATAAACATAAAAACATTTTCATGAACTTTGTAAAGACGACACGTATAAAATGTACAGTTTTTAATTGCTTATATCTCAATATTGAAATCAATATATATTGTGTGTGTATATATATATATATATATATATATATATATATATACACATCAATCTCATTATAATTGCACAAGCATGTTAACATCGTCTAGTACAATATATAATTTCAAATTCAAGTCATTCTGAATACTTTCAATTTGCGAGTGTACTATCTTAATTGTTAAAAAAGTGGTGCTTTCCAGTAAGGACACGATTAGACACAATGGCCGCGGTCCGATTCACGCTCACAACGGTTAAAAATCATTTCATCCTTGTTTCAAATGTTAAACGAAGACAAACGATGCTGATGAGCGTTGTCAGCATGAATTGGACCACGGCCAGTATAAGGGTGGAATTACACGATGCTCGATTTCTTGATTGATATGCATATTAGTCAATACGGTGAATCTTAATATAGTGAATCATTACATACATCCTTGTTGTTTGTCTACGTTAAACATTGAAATGATTCACTGTGTTATATAGTGTGTGATTGTGTTCTTACTGGAAAGCATCTAAGATAACGTCATTATTATATCTTAAATAGATCACATGACGTCAATAATGCAAAATGACTAACTATCGACATTAAAATAACTATAGTTTGTTATATGGGCCCATATTCTGTACATGTCTACCAACAGTTGTCGGTGTCGATAAATAACGATAGCCAATAGCAAGGACTATCCTAGGAAAAAATCGCAGTTCTCATTGGCTGTCGCTACTTAACGATATCGACAACTGTCGGTATAATAGATATGTACAGAATATGGATCCTGGGATATTGTTTTAGGGTTAAATCCTTTTTTTAATAATTCGCAAAATATGTCTGCAATACAAATGAGAATTAGTTAAAAATAAAGAAAAAAATAAAAAACTTTAGTTACAAAAAGTATACATTCTGTACACATGATGGGTCATTTATGACCCAGAGGTGAACCTTGAAGTTATTCTAATTAAAGGATATGCATGAATTGAAGCTAGCAATGCACAAAACTTGTTCTTTAGATGCTAAACTTTTATTAAGAATAGAAAAGAGACCGGTATTTGATCAGATGTTCTTAATATTTCAAAGAAAAGAAATGCGCGGGATACGAATGGCCTAAAGGTGTGTATTAAGGGTTATTACTAATGGCTTATTATAGAATGTGCCTTAGGTGCCGATTGGATCAACGTTACTTTGACTTTAAGCAAGACTCGCGAAAAAGAGACAAAGACAGAGAGTTTTGAGCATTGCTTAAAGTCAAAGTAACGTTGGTACAACCTTTACTTTTAGTCTTAATCGAAGTTGGCCAATAGCCAGAATGCCTCTTCATGCTGACGTTTGACATTCATTTTTAGCGTCAAAACAAATCACGTGATAAAAATTGACAAATATCAAGTGTCAATTTCGATCATATGACTTATTTTGACGCTAAAAATCGAGCGTCAGTAGAAGAGGGACCTTAATGGGCTTTATGAGGATCAACCAATTAGAATTATTGGTATACATTACAGTTCATTGGCACATATATATTAAATACAAGATTATCGGAATTGAATTTCTATACATATAAAAAGACATTCATTTATTAATAAAAAATTATTATTATTAAAAATATTATTAATAAAAAAATATTATTAATTGTTCGACAAGTATTCATTAATATATAAGTATTCATTTTTTCAGCATATAAATATAACCATTTGTATCATTGGGGATAAAATTGCGTGCTTGTCAGTTCGAAATTTTTGTAGTTGGATTCCCCAATATTTCCTAAATTGTGAAAAATCAGAAAATTTATTTTAAATATTTTATGAAAAAAAATAATTATATAATATCAATAGAATCTACAAGAAAATAAAATTTCAATATATTTCTTTATTATAACTGAAGATAATGAATCTTTTAAATTAAAAAACGATTCGAGGTTAGTATAACAGTCCGTTTTTCGAAAAAGTCGTTCAATGGAGAACTCAGCCACAAAAATTTCGGACCAACAAACACGCAATTTTATCCCCAATAATATAAATATAAAGTTATATTTATATGCTGGAAAAATAAATATTTATTTAATTCTTATCAATTATTTATTAATAATAAATTTTTTTTATACGTATAAAAATTCAATTTCGATAATTTTGTTTTTATATGTGCAGACGAATAGTAATGTAACTCAATAATTCTAATTGGTTCATACTCGATTACTTTTCCGAGATTCCGTTTTCCGAAATTCCAACTATAATAAAACAGCACCTTAAGGAATAATGATTTCAACCCATCAGAAACCGGGTATTCCGATGTATCTTATTTCTGATAGATTAAAATCGTTTATCCTTTATCCCTAATTCCTTATTCTAGTGCGCAGGACCTATTCTATCAGAAATCGAATACATCGGAATCATGGTTTCTGATAGGTTAAAATCATTATTCTTTATAGGCCTTCTGCAATAAGCCATTAGTCATAAATCAGAAGTTAAAAGTTGAAAATTCATGACTGTGATTAGTCAATTTCCAGCTTCTAATCTGATTTATGACTAATGGCTTATTGTAGAATGTGTATAAGACTTAAGATTTCCGACTACCGATTTATTGTAGAATCAGCATAAATCTTAAGTCACAAGATATTGATAGATTATAGTCAATTATTCTTCTCACATCTGAATATGATTGATAAATTTCTTATGACTTCAGATTTAGATTCAGTTCCACAACTCACGGTTGAGGTTCAACTTATTCATTATCTTTTTCCAATTATAGAATTAGAAATAAATGAGAAACAAGTTGAACCTCGGTTAAAAGTTAACTGTGAGTTATGGAACTCGGCCTTAAGCTTAGACAATGGTTTATTGTAGAAAATCCATGAGATTAAGACTAATTAATGCTGATTCTACAATGTCGATAGTCGGAAATCTTAAGTCTTAATCAGTTTTAACCTAAATCTACTAGTTGTCAATTGTACGAGTCGTTTAGCTTGATCAGTGAGAAGGAATAAAATCGAATTTGATCAGTCTTAAGAAAATCTCACGTCCGTTTTTGCCAATGTCTCAGTTCAATTAATTCATCTTTTTCTAATTTTAAGAATAAAAAAAAAGATAAAGAGTAATTAGTCGAATATTAGTCATACAAGTTGGCTGTTGACTAACTTCATCGATAAAGCCTATCCTACAATGTGCTTTTCTGTTTCTTGCTTTTCGTTATTTTTTACATCTTGTCTTTTTGCTTCTTATCCAGTTTTTTGTTTTCGCTCAGCGATTATGCTTTTGGATGTAATACTTCAGTTACTATTCTAATATACTCACGTGTTTCTACACGATTTTCCGTTTCCCATATTATAGTAAATTGAAAGTAGGCATAAACGTGATCGCTCGACAAGGGCTTCAGCATCAATTCTTCATCAAAAAAGTCATTGTATGCATTACTACACGTCGCGATATCAATTAAGCCGATAAACAGTACCAGTATATGCGAAATTGTCATATTGTTACGAGGTTAGGTTACAATATTACCAGGTCTGTTCGAATATTATCTCCATATACAGCGATTTTTTCAATATAGGTCTGTTCGCATTTCTTATTAATTATTCAGTTGGTAAATGTTCAGTTCAACTTTCTCACTTCTGATTTTGATAAAATTCAGCTTATTCAACGTTTTTTTTTTACATGAAACGATTGAATCTGGCGGAACAAATTACCGCACTGCCTTGCAAGCCGAGATCATTGTATTTAGAACGACAATCGCTGATGTTTCCTATTTGATGACACAAGTCGACCCAAGCATTGTTCTATCCTTGTTGACATTCAGAAAGTGACAAAGATAGACCGATACTTATGTCAACTTGTGTCATCAAATGGAAAGCACCCACTAAGTGGATGCATTCAATACTATAACCGCTCACTGAGTGTTCAGTGAGCTCTTGCATCTGATTGACATATTTAGAAATATAGACCAAAAATTGAGCTCACTGAGCGGTCGTAGTACTATAAATGCACCCAGTGTTTTAAGTCTTATGATATATCTACACAAACTTACATAAACATGTGCATAAAGAAAATTATCCAATCGCATTTCTCTTACAAAGTTGCACGTAAAATGTGATTGGATAATTTTCTTTATGCAGCTATATGTTTATGCGGCTGTGCAAGTTTGTGGATATACGCTTATGGTCTTTCAACCGTTAACCAATAAACCGTTAACCATAAATCAGAAGTCGGAAAATAAAAATTGACTAATCACAGTCGTTAATTTTTAGCTTCTGACTTCTAATTTATGACTAATGGCTTATTGTAGAAGGCCTATTAAGCGAGGAGTACTCTTGCATAACGCATAAAACATGAGACATAAGAAATCAGAGTCGTTTATTTTTTACGGAAAGGAAGGAAATAAAAGACTTTGATTTCATTTTTTTATGCCTCATGTTATGCATTATACAAGAGTCTGTGCTCCCCGCTTTAAATCGTAAGAAATTGATGGACCTTCTACAAATCAGAAGTTAGACCGGTATTCATAGTCGATTCTTATTTCAAGATCTTAAGTAATATCTTAAGACGCTAATGCAGCCCTCTGATTGGTTCGTGACTTCTTAAGATCGTACTTAAGACGGTCTTGCATATAAGATCAGACTATGAATACCGGCCTTAGAAGCTAAAAATTGATGACTGTGATTGATCAATTTTTAGCTTTTGACTTCTGATTTGTGACTAATGTCTTATTAGTAGAAGGCTTATTACAATTGAATGCAACAAGAATAATTGACTATGATATGTCTATTTCTTATGACCTAAGGCAGAGAGAAACTTGAGAGAGGACATGATGACCCTAAATCTGTAACCGCAAAATGCTTGTGGCGTTGCGAGCGTTAGTTGCGGCGCTGCGAACGTTAGCTGCGGCGCTGCGCGCGTCAGTGGCGGCGCTGCATGCGTCCGTCGCGATGCTGATACGGTCGTTCTTTCCATGACTCTTCCCATTCTCTCTCCGGCGTCATGGCGTGCCGCGTGCAGACCTCGTGTAAGTCTCTGCGATAGTCAGTAAGTTAGAACTCGGACGTTAAAGCTCCGAATTACTTTGTGTATTCCGCGAGGCCGATACCGATCATTATGTCCGCGATAATTATTAGCGTCGTCAGATAAATTCTTAGAGTGTATTTTCATAGTTCTAGTATTGTAACTCCGCGACACGATGCCGGTATCCGAGCCGACTTACACGCGCAATCACGTCTCTACTTTCTAATCAACATTTGTATTCAGTATTTAGTTAATTAGGCATTAAGTGTGTATTAAAACGCCTCATGGCATAAAATCAGAAGCAGTGCGTAGCGCTCATTCTCAACCTAACTTTTTCCCGCCATACGTCCTTCGCTGTGGTTGGTAACCACCGGCGCCATATTGCGTAGCACGCGATCCAATAGCCACATGCTATCGCGCACTACTGCCCTTTAACAAAATGGATGTAAACTACTAGCAACATCCACTTTGTCAGAGTGTACAGGTTTTTGGCCGTCATGTCCTCTCTCAGGTTTCTCTCTGCTTAAGGCTTGAAAACCTATAGTAGGTGCGTTCGGCATTGCAAATCGGAGGCATCCATTTGCTCTTTTACTTCGAAAATCATTTAGTAACTCGCTTCTTTCTGCTACACATCATCTCATCTGCGTTCGATATTAACATTTCTAATGCTAATCAAGCTTCGATTCACTCCGGACTCAAAGATCGAGCTCGCAGAGCTAATGCAAATTTTCACGCTTAAATTAAATTCATAACCTGTATATTTATGATAATGCTAACAAATAGAAATTGATGAAATACATTATGTACAATATTTAATGAGGAAAGTAAGTTTTTAATTCTTTTCCTCTTAATCATGTATTAAAGACTAACGAATATAAATCAATAACTTATAAATTGCAGAAATTTATTTTGCAATGTAGTATTTTCTTTTAAGAAAACATACTGCATATGAGTCTGCTATATATTCATGTGTAATGATCTATTTTTAGAATATATAAGACTATCAGTTTCTAGTAAACTCAGCAAACGAGAATGGATTGAAATGAATTAAAATGGATTCAGATTTTCAGAACTACGGATGAATGTTAAAATGAATCCTTTTTAATTCTGAATGCATTTTTATTCATTTATAGAAATTGCATAGAGCATATCTCTATGTCTTTCAACTTAAAAATAATTAGCCTTTTCTGTGCGTCGTGAATACTACTTAATTCAGAATTGTAAATAGAAAGTACAGTTTTTTAAATTCAGTTAAATTCAAAAATAATATTAGCAATTTCTGTGCAACGTGAATACTGCTCAATTCAATATTCTGAATATGTAATGCAATTTTTCAATCTAATTGAATAAAAAAAAATTTATTCACTATAAATACTACTTACTTACGTTATTTAAAATTGTAAGTAGGAAATTTTTCGTTTTAAATTAAATTCAAAAAATTGTAACGTAAAAATAATTGAGCTATGTTCTTTTGTTTCTCTTTGATTAGAAATAAAATGAATGATCGATGAACACTCGCAAACCAAGTCGAATACAGTCCGAATATTAGGCTAATCACGACGCGCGACATCGGCCAAATGAGATTATTATCCGACACTTACCCAATATTATCTCAGTAATGTAAATTGTTTATACTTTATTATATCTGTTAAATAATGATATTTTTATTATATCTATATAATTTCGTTACTGATTAGCTGATTGCAATTGTAAGTAGAGAATGAATAACACATTTACCAATTGAAGAAGTGGTGTAGCGGATAACACTCACATAATCCAAAAGTCCCAGGTTTGAATCCCACTAAGGTGCGTTTTTTAGTATCAATTTGAAGTAGTTAATTTCAGGTATAATTGTTATAAATATCTTAGGAATAAAATTTGTAATACTTAAATATGAATGTTTTTTTTCGAATATTAAACTAATGTCAGCTCAGATCCAATCCATTTCAATTCGTTCAATCCATTCAATCTATTCAATCCATGGATTTAAAGTACGCATTAAAAAAATTTTAATCCATTTTAATCCATTCTCGTTTGCTGGGAAGCGAAAGAAATTTTCAATTAATAGGGTATTAATAGGGTATTTTTTTAGGTAATTAATAGGATATTTTTTATTTATTCATAAAAATAAACAATTTCATTTTATAATCTAATCTTAAAGTTTATAGCTCTGTAGCGTTCGGAATTAATTCTTGGCATTTCTCGGATTACTCGAAGATCACGTGATCAAGCTCACTATTTGCTAGCTCGCATCTCAGATTTACATTGCCAAACGCACCTTGTAGATCTGAGCTTAGAGTGAAATTATACGGTGCGGAAAATGAATGCGGAATAAAGAATGCGTCATAGAAGCAACCTATCAGCGTTATTCTGCGTTATTCCGAATAGCGCTAATTGATTGTTTCCATGGCCTAAGTTCCCAGCAAACGAGAATGGATTGAAATGAATTGAAATGGATTCAGATTTTCAGAAATATTGATTCACGAATGTTAAAATGAATGCTTTTCAATCCCGAATGCATTTTTATTCATTTATAGGAGTTGCATGGAGCATATCTCTATGCCTTTCAATCTAAAAATAATATTAGCTTTTTCTGTATAAAACACAATTGTGAATACTATTTAATTCAAAATTTTGAATAGGAAATGCAGTTTTTTAATCCAATTGCATCCAATTGAATCTAATTGAATCTAATTGAATCTATAATTGAATCCAATTGAATCCAATTAAATCCCAAAAAGAGTATTCGCTATTTAAAATAGGTATAGGTTCGGATAGAAAAAAATTTTCAATCCATTTTAATCCATTCTCGTTTGTTAAGTGTTTTCAATGTTTTTAAACAATTATATTAAACATTAAATTGTTTTTGGCGTTGGATTCCAAGACGCCTCCACTTCAAGACGCCCCGATGCGTCACTTACCGTGCTTACCGTCTAAAACCAGCTCTGTATTTATGGTCCATTTTTAAATCAAAATTTTTTTTATTCAATTATATTGAAAATCTGCATTTCATATTCAAAATATTGAATTGAGCAGTATTCACGTTGTACAGAAATTGCTGATATTATTTTTGAATTTAAAAAACTGAATTAAAAAAACTGTACTTTCTATTTACAATTCTGAATTGAGTAATATTCACGATGGACAGAAAAGTTAATATTATTTTTAGGTTGAAAGGGATAGAGATATACTCTATGCAATTTCTATAAATGAATAAAAATGCATTCAGAACTGAAAAGGCATAGACATTTGTTTTATGCAATTCTTATAAATGAATAAAAATGCATTTAAGATTGAAAAGGATTCATTTTAACATTCATGTATCCGTATTTCTGAAAATCCGAATCCATTTTAATCCATTTCAATCCATTCTCGTTTGCTAGGAGCCTAATAGGACTGTGGAATAGAGAATGCGTTATTGAAGTAATCAATCAGCGCTATTTCGCATTTGGTGTTGCAGAATAGAGATTGCGTCATTGTGTCTTAAACGCCTAAACTGTAAAGTTATCTAAACCGTGTTCTTGTAATACCGTCGTATTTTGAGACATTAAAATATAATATGATAAAGTCGCGTATTGAAAAACGAATGGAGCAAAAAACGACAAAATCTAAGTGCGTAAATGTAGATAACAAGATAAAAAAACAATGACGCATTATATGCGATTTCAGCGTGCCCTGTTCACACGATGCGGAAAAATAATAGTAAATGCATTAAAGCAGTTCAAAAAATTATGAGATTGTAAATATTAATTGTAAAATATTAAATACTACGACAGTGATAATTATTTTTACAATTTGATAAATTATATTTCATTTTAATAAGCAAATTTTTAATATAAAATTAGTAGTTAAATTATATTCATTCTGGATGCATCTTTGACGCACCATGTGAATACCCAGTAAACGAGAATGGATTAAAATGGATTGAAATTTTTTTCTGTCCGTATGTGTATTTTATATAAATAGCGAATACTTTTTTTGGATTTAATTGGATTCAATTGGATTCAATTAGATTCAATTGGCTGCAATTGGATTGAAAAACTACATTTCCTATTCAAAATTTTGAATTGAAATATTCACAATTGTGTTTGTGTGCACAGAAAACGCTAATATTATTTTTAGATTGAAAGGCATAGAGATATGCTCCATGCAATTCCTATAAATGAATAAAAATGCATTCAGGATTAAAAAGCATTCATTTTAACATTCGTGAATCAATATTTCTGAAAATCTGAATCCATTTAAATTCATTTCGATTCGTTCTCGTTTGCTGAGTATATATAATAATATATATTTGTTTAGGAATATAAATTTATTGTGTTGTATCAACGTAAAGAAAATAAAAACAAACTGATTCGTGTGTTTTTCTTTCGTATTGTGCTTTTTTTCGTCTCGACTAGATATATCTACATATATTTTGTATCAACCAGTCACTCATAATGAAGTAAATAAAAGAAAAAAAAACAGTGAAATCACAAGAGTTTGAACAGTGGACATACGCGGCGAGAGAGGCGTGAGGATAATTTTTTACTGTTTATAGTTCGGTGAGTTTTCAGTTGTTTTTGTTCAAACATGAGATGTTGCCCTCACGCGAAATTGTATCTTTCAATTTACATTTATATATGTGCGTATAAAATATGTAAGATATATTATATTTGTTATGTTTTGTAAATTTTGCAATTTATGTTTAATTTATGTTTATTTAGAACAAGAATACAGAATAATTTATTCTATTCAAGAAAAATTCAGTATACATAATTTATACAAACACCGACATGCTTTGCAAATAAATACATACATTGATATTTTTATATGAATTAATTATATTCGAAATTTTGTTATTATTATATATTATATGAATGAGAGATAATAAAACTTCCGCTTTTTAAAATCTTGCCAAAGATGGAATCGGTTTTGCATAAATGCCACTTAAATTATTCAAAATTATAAGTAGAATATTTTTCGTTTTAATCCAACTAAGAAAGAAAGAATCCAATTAAAAAGTTCAGAAAATTGTAACGTAAAAATAATTGAGCTATGTTCTTTTGTTTCTCTTTGATTGAAGTAAAATGAATGATCGATGTGAATACTCAAACCAAGTCGAACACAGGCCGAATATTACGCTGATCACAGCGCGCAACATCGGCCAGGCGAGATTAGATTATACGTCACTTACTCAATATTGCTTCATAATAATGTAAATTGTTTATATTTTATTATATCTGTTAAATGATGATATTTTTATTATATCTATATAATTTCAGGCACTCATTTAGCTGGCTGTAATTGAAGTAAAGAATG